TTTTTTTTTTTTTTTTTTTTTTGATAAACCATACATTTGCATTCAATGTGTTTAAAGCTCCAAATATAAATTATTTTCAGAAGTGGCAGCTTGCTGGTGACCAATATTTAGGTAAGAATAGAGTAGAAGGCACATCTCTGTCCTCACCTGACCTATACAGGAAGTCACCGACCCCAGCTGGCTAGATACGTGGATTAAGGCAGCAGGACAGATGAACCAATCCACTAAGATGAGAAGCTACTCTGTTTTTAGAAACTTTTTGAGGCGGAGCTCGTCTGGCTCCACTAAGCTGCAATTTCTGCCTGTTAGTTTCTGTCTAAATCTTTTCCGTTACCTTTTCACTTCTCAGCTGGCTTATTTCTGCAGAATTCTCTTGACCTCCCATGAGATCGTGGCAACTCTTCATAGGCCCCCTAACTCCAGTCTAATCATAACGGTTGTTTAATAAATGCATGGATTTCAGCACGGAGGTGTACAGAGAACCAGGACCTAATGCGTAATTGTGCTAGTCATAAAATTGAACCAAGGGCCCGGCAGGACAAATTGGATGCCCATTTAGCTAGTCTACAAATATTTACTGAGCTTGTACCATTCACTGGGGGTACAACAGTGACCAAAACAGATGCAATCTTTGCCCTCTGACCTTGGCCTGGCCCCTGTGCCTCATTTTCATCATCTGTAACATTCTCACCTTTCACAGGACCTCCTAGGTCTACCAAGAAAGAAAGGTTTAAAATTACTTGGAGCTCTTGGTAAAAAAAAAAAGATAGCATTGTGACTTCTTAAAAATGCAAATTCCTTGCTGGGCGTGGTGGTGCACACCTGTAATCCCAGCACTTGGGAGGCTGAGGCAGGAGAATCTTAGAGGCAAGGCTGGACTACCAAGTGAGTTCAACAGCCTGAACTACATAGCAAGAACCTATCTCAAAAAAAAGCAAACTCCCCTCCCTCTTATTTATTTGTTTGTTTCTCATATCTCTCCCAGTTTCCAATCATTCTGAAATACTATATCACCTCCTATGTTAGAGGAGAGATGACGTACAATAAATAATGACTGTCAATTGAGTTTCCTTCCTGCCAGTCCAATGTTCTGATGTATCTTTCTCTCCTTCAATCAGCCACACCTCTGTCACCATTTTTTCCATTGGAAAAGTGAGATAAGTGAAGAATTTGGGAGATGGTACCAAGGATGCCCTACTCCTTCAAATGACTCTTATGTTAATGATATTCATTAGAACAGCAATGAAAGTTATTCCTTCTTAATCCATTGTTATGTGCCAGGCACTGTGAAAGGCACTTTGTGCAGATTTCCTTAACTGTAGATTCTAGAATAAAATGAGTGTTAGGTGTGGAGGTGCATGCCTCTAATCCCAGAAGCACTGAGGAGCTTGAGCCAGGAGGATCACTGCTAATGAGAGGCCAGCCTGAGCTACATAGTAAAATCAAAGTTCAAGGCCAGTGTGAACTACAGAGTGAGAGATCCTGTCTTGAGTATGAGTATCATTTATTTTCCTCACTTTACAGATGAGGATGTCGAGGGTCAGAAAGGTTATTTACCCAAGGCTATATCCTCTGCTAGGAGGAGGCAGGATTCAATGCTGGTCAGGCTAAACCTGGAGTCCAGGCTCCAAATCAATACAGGATTCCATGGCACTCTGCTCATCTCCAGCATATCCACACTTCTGGAAGAGTCACAAGAGCCTCACTGGAGCTCACTGGGGGCTCTGTGTTCTTAAGAAGACCATGTAGAGACTCAGCTGTGTCCTGGCATCAGGCTAAGGGCACAGCTCTTGTGTGGGGCACGGATCCAACAAGTACTCCAGGCTACTCTCCTATGTTGTATAACTGATATTGTGTAATAGGAAGAAAAGTCTAAAAGAGTAGAGGAAGTGGGAGGGGTAGGAGAAAGGTAAAAAGGGGAAAAATACTTGAAAAGGAAAAGCATGGAAACAATGTCTTTGTAAACAGGGAAGGGTGGAGAGGTTGAGGGGGCTGGGCAATGCACAAAAATAAGAACCTGATTAAGTCATGTATAGGTATAAGATCTCAGTGACTAATGTAACTGGACTGTATATCTCATACATACCAATAAATTTAATAAAGATTAAAAAAAAAGAATTATGCTCTGTGGTAGGGGTGAGTAGGGTGGCTGGTCTTACTGATTTGCAGAGGATGGAGATGACTCAGGGCTTTGCTGTAGCGTAATCTCAGCATGATTTCTAAAGGGGTCGAATAAATGCCCCACTGTCACAGGGGCAAAGGAACAGAGTGGCCGGGGCTGTGGAAGCTCTCCCAAGGCTGCCCACATTTCTGCCAAAGAGGGGCAGGCACAAGCATGGCTCTGCAAGAGTAAACGGGTAATCAGAGAGGCCCAGGGCAGCCGTTCTCAGAAAAGCAGTTCCTCATTAAACTGTCATTATTTGCTGATGATATGATACTCTATATTGAAGATCCAAAAAACTCCACCAAAAAACTTCTAGACTTAATTGACAGATTCAGTAGAGTATCTGGATACAAGGTGAATACCCAAAAATCAATAGCCTTCTTCTACACAAATAACAGACACACGGAGAGAGAAATAAGGGAAAAAATTCCTTTCACAATAGCATCCAAAAAAATAAAGTATCTAGGAATCAATCTAACAAAAGAAACAAAAGATCTCTACGCTGAAAACTACAGCATTCTGAAAAAAGAAATTGAAGAGGATATAAAAAAATGGAAAGATATCCCCTGCTCCTGGGTAGGAAGAATCAACATAGTGAAAATGGCCTTACTACCAAAACTGCTACATACATTAAATGCAATGCCAATTGAAATTCCAACACTATATTTCACAGAACTAGAAAAAAAAAATCCAAAAATTCATTTGGAACCATAAGAGACCTAGAATAGCAAAAGGCATTTTAGGCAACAGACACATGGCACCAGGTATAACAATTCCCAATTTGAAACTATACTACAAAGCCACTGT